GTCCTATAGAACGTCGCCACGTAGCCCCTAGTTAGATAGTATATATAGAGACAAGAGTGAAGGCTTCTTCACTCTTGTCAACTCCTTTCTTGCTTCTAGTCCAGGTTCAAGAGTCTTTAGTTTCTTGTCTTGTGGCAATAGCCATTCCAGTTTCCTTTTAATATACCTACTTGTTTATATTTTGACTTATTATATCGAGATAGCCTTTTGGTGTATATTTTTCCCTCATCGAGTCTTTGTCCTTGACACTAGAAGCAAGAAAAGAATTGACAAGAGTGAAGAAGGCTTCATTCTTGTCTTTATATATACTATCTACTTAAGATCTATGTGGCGATGTTCTTTAGGACCTCCAAAACTGTGTTGACTTTGTATGATACGTATCTTAACTTGCAAGGCAAGTTTCTTATATAAATGCCACATAGTTAGCTTGTTCCACAAGCTACCAATACATGTGGCATATGGTTAGCTTATTGACCAAGTTTCTAACCTACCAATCAACTATAAAGACATGTAAAGTCAAAATAATATCTAGGAACCTTCTAAGAAGTTTTTCTAGAAGATATTATGAAATTAATCTATTTTTATCTACTTCTATCTATTCATATTATCTAAGTAAGAATTACAATAGATATATATTCGTAACATATTGTTGCATTATCTTTTGAAAATGCAATCAATTTCTATGATTCTTGCATTCATGATAAAAGTAATGGTATTTAGTTTGTTGTTCAAGCAATATGCTATTTGAGATTATAAAGAAGTTGTAATAAAATAAAATATGGGATAATTATAAAAATTAATTAAATTTTTTAAATCACTTAATAATTATTTTATTTGAATATCTAGACCAATTGATCTTATAAGAAGCTAAATTAATAAAGATTTTTTTTATTATTTAAAATTAAATAAATCTAGTTATATATTAATTACTACCAAAATTAAATAAAAAAAAAAATATTATTGTGCATTCTATGTATCTTTTATTGAGCTTTATACTACAACCAACATATTGGAAAGAAGGCAATTACTACTACTTTTTCTTGAAGTAGATAACAAAGAGTATAAAATAAAAATAATCTTGGATTTAAGGCATTTCTAAAAAAAATTAAAATATCTTATATATTAGCATAGATATGATTTTAGTGAATGTATACTAGCACTCTCAAAGAATCTCATAAATGCATCAATATTTATTGTGGTTTTTTATCAACAACATCTATAATAATAAAAGATCAACTATTAATAATAATAGAATCTAAATCAAAGATAAAAAATTTGAAAGATCTATTAGTAGAACTTCATTATAACATAGAGAATCAAGAACTATGAAGTTTATTTAAAGATTTATTATTTACAAAATTCCTAGATGCAGGATTTAAATTATTTTAACTTTAAAAATATTAAAATTATAATAAAGATCTTTAAAAAAAATATGTCATTCTTTGAATAAGTAATAAGATATAGTGTGTTTGATACCATAATCTTAAATAAAATTCTTGATGCTTAGTAATACTATCAAAGGTACATACTACTTATGCTAGAATGCTAAATATATTATTTAAAGATAGTTAAAAAGTCCTCAACAATCTTCAAATAACAAGATGGTCTTCTTGTCTTGGTACAAATTATTATTGATGATTGAAGTGGCCTATCAACTATCCTTGTACATAAAATAGATCAAAGTTTGTTGTTAATACCATTCAATAAATCTTCAATTCTATAAACTTATAAAATAATTTGATTGCTGATTGTAGAAATTTTGATTTGGAAGAGAGGAGAATGTAATAAATGTTCATATTACTTAAATAAATAGAAGTAAGTAGAAATAATTAGAAATATATCAAAAAGATAATATTTTCTTTAAGAAGCTTCAAAAAAGTTTTGTTGGTGTGGATTAGATATTTGGACTTTTATAGATATGTCTTTTGGTTATCAAACTTAACATCAAAGTTTTTAATTGATAAGAAGCTACAACCTACAATTTTTATTTTGAGAACAACCTATAATTTGATGCTTGAGCCATAAGCCTTGCAGTTGTTAAGAAGTATCTAAAAGATGTTTTTAGTAGCTAGTATATATAAAAGTAAGACTAAGGCCTTCAATATCATTAGCATCTTTTTTATATTCTAATCTTTTTATATTCTAAGATTTTCTTATTTTTTTTAATTTAATAATAGTTACATTGATTTTTATTGAATTGACAATTATATCATTTTTTCTTATTATCTCCCTTCTTTAGTAGTATATGAGTATGTTGTAATTTAGATTTTGTCTAAAATCATGTCTTTGATATAATCTATTTATTTATTTATTCTATGAAGTAAAATGAAAAATAAAAAATAATATTTTAAGTTTTTAGCCTTATACTGATTGTTTTATTTTTTATTTTTTCTAACTTTAAGTTTAGTTTAATAAATTAGATATTTTTCAGTTTTTTTTAATTATTATTATTTTTATCTTTATCTCTCTCTCTCTCTCTCTCTCTCTCTCTCTCTCTCTCTCTATATATATATATATATATATATATATTTTAAGATTTGAATTTTTTTTTGTTTTTTTTTTTTATCTATATTGTCGTGTTTACTTATTTAACTTTTTTTAAATAAATTTCATGTTTGTAGATTCATCAATTTTTTAATTTTTAAAATATAAAATAAAATATTTTTTTAACTTAGTAATTTTAGAAACATTCTTTTCACTTTGTTTATAATTTAAATTTTTTATTACTTTATTTTTTTTGTATAAATGATAAATATGTCTTACTATTTTGATAATTGTTTATAATGGTTCTTATTTGGTTTCCTTTCGTTCATTTATACATTTTGGATGGCGAAAAGTTATGTTATTAAAAGTCAAACTTGTGATTTTATCAATTTTATTGTGAATAATATATCTATATATATATATATATATATGTATGCATATGTATGTATAGGATCTCTGTTTTAAACTGCAAAAGTATCCATACCATAGAGGTGCAGTGTTGATAATAAAGTTAACGTGCGTAGTAAATTCCCTGGAGCAATTAGTAGAGAGAGTGCAAGATACGTAAGAGATGAAATTGGAGATTCCACGAAGTAACTGAGGATTTAATCGAACAGGTATCGATGGCCGGTACTAAAAGCTTTGACGGTCAGATTAAATGAAATTTATGAGTTTGATGCTGACGAGCCCATATCTGCAGCTTCAGCGTTGTCCATGAGCACAACTATCCAGAAAAACACCGTTGCACAGTCCATGTTGAGCTCCGCTCAGAAGCATACCCTTGCGAATCGCATTATCGTTAGTAGAGATCCTCACCAAGATATGAACATGTCAGGGGCCACTAAATCTCTGTATGGGATCTGGATTCGTTTGCCAGGGCATTACTTAGAAAGCTCACAAATCAAAAGTATGTCATAATAGATACTCACTATGATGTGTGCAGAGGAAGGTTACCCACAAGAGGCTGCCGATTCCTTTCAGCACTCTTGCTCTATTCGAATTTAGACTTCACAAAGCTGTTCTGTGAACTGAACGAAGTAAGCGTCGTTTACCTCGCAGAAATGACGTACCCATTGACCGCAGGTGCCATTCTCATTGAATCGAATGGGTTTTGTTGATGTTTGAAATTAGAACCATGGAAGGCTCAACATTCGTAGAGGCAAACAATATGCCGTAACAGGAAGGAACTTTACTTGAAAGGAGCAAATGACTCCTACAACTACTTGGCTTGCTGGCTGCACGAAACCTTGGAACTGTCTGTTGTTCCTCTCAGAGCAGCGCATGTTCAACTCTACATCATGCGGAGAAACGAAACTTACACTACGAAGAAGTGAAGAAGTGCTGGAGACATACAACAATTGCACAAAAAAGAGGTATAGAATTTTACCACCGTGAAAGTTCTCCGGAATGGCAAGTCCAAAAGTATCCCAGGTAGTTAGCAAGAAACCACATTGATGAAGAGGATACACACTCGTCGAAAGCATACAAATGGAAACACCCATTGTACCTGCAACGCAAGCAAAAAAAAATCCCTTTCATCAGTTTTCTCAGAGATGGATCAGATCAAAACTTGTCATGTTCCCCAAGAAACTAGACAATTCTACATCCACCAATAAAAAAAAAATTTCAAAAGTGAGTTAAAATCATGTGAATCCGAAAGGATTTTGTTTGGGTTGCTCTTTCAGATAGCAGAGTCCAGAGCAGGATTAGTGATGCGTCCTTGTCATTCATTTTAAATGGCTTTTTCTTAGATAGCTGCAAGTCCCTTTTCTCATCAAATGCGACATCCTTCCTACAGATATGCTCTTTGAGTACAAGAGCTTGGCCACAGGTGCAACGGTTCTTTGAAAACAAACTTCAATTCTGGGTTCAGAATGTGAACAGTTTTCATACTTCCTAATGTCTGAAGCGCTACTGATCGACAGAGACTCATTCCCATGACTGGCAGGCATCAGTGACCAAGACACATGATACATGAAGCCTAAACCATATTTCCAACTTTAGGTTTATATAGAAACCGCATCGGAGGGTGCTCGAGAAGAATCAACAGAGGAAAAATGTTCAAACATGTTTAAAAAACTCTCATGTATGACGAGATAATGTAATCTGATTTAATTTTAGAGGAAGATTTTAATTTTTTGAACAATTTTTGAAGTGTTTGTTTTGAAATCAAATATTGTTAAAACTGAGTAATAGTTGGTTTTGTATTTTCCATTTAAAAAAATTCTAAATTATCAAAAGAAGAGGTTAATGAAGAACCTGTTGAGGAGAAAGTAATTGGACATTGTGTTTTTTCATAATAATAAAAAATAAGTGAAACAATCTTTAAACAATAGATTTTGTTGACTATTTATATATATATATATATATATATATATTTAAAACATTGAAATATTTGTTAGTCCTAAAATTAGGTGACAAAGATTATTACCAAAAAGACAAGTTTGTAGTCAACCAAGCCAAGTAAATGTTCTAAATAAGCAATTAAGAGACAAAAAGAAGACAAAATAGTGAGTAAAAAAGAAGCCATCTAAGCCTTCTACCACAATTGGAGGATATATATTAATAACATTTGTATATATATATATACATAAAACTAACCATAGCATTTTAAAACTAAAATAAGAACAAAAAATACAATTACTATTACTATTAGCAAAAATACATACATATAATGTCATTTCAATTTGGATAACAAAGTCAATTTTGAAAAAAGTAGCCAAAGAAAAAAGATCTACAACACTAATACTAAACCCACCTACACCAATTAAACATCTATATTTTTAATTAGAGTTTCTTCTTGCATCTATATTATTTTATGTAATAATAGACACCCGACCCTTCCATACCTGAACGATCCGAAGGACTCGCTGGGGAAACAAACATCCACAATCTGCGGATAAGACTCACCTCCAAATATTTGCATCAGCTATGGCGTCCTGCACAGTTTAGAACTCACTACATTACGGTTAGGGTGCAATCCCGTGCAGCCTCATCTGCAAGTTCAGAACCAAACCAGAGCAAGCTTACCCTGTTCATAACATCCGTATCCCCTCTAACTGATCGATGTAGCTTCAGGTACAATTTTGCTCAATGTCAAGCTCCAGATTCTTATCTTATTTCGAGGGAAAGGGAAAATGATTGTACGTGGCCCTGATTGCGCATATCCGTAGGCGAAGAAATGTGAGGTAGTCTTGTTGAGTGATCTGTGAGCCTTAGCCATGTCCGGCCGCCGTGGTACGACTCCAAGAAATATGGATAGGTCTATCGCTTTTACCAGTTCCTTCCAATATCGCCAACAAACTGACAACCGTCTTCTCAGAATCTGAACGTTACACAGTCCGCCCCTTCTAAGCGAGAGGAAGAGGTACTATTTTGCTCAAGTAATCTTAGCAATCTCATTGTCAAAGGAGTTTTTACAAAAGAAACACGTACATGTATGCTCAAATGTGCAGATATCTTACTCAGGTAGGACTGCTCAGCTTGCAGGACGACCATCGAACTGCGATCCATGGCAAAAAGTACTCGTACCTAAATTAATGGTTAACTTTGCAAATACAGACTAACGAAGTCCTCAGAGGGAATCCGGCTTTACAAGAGGAATCTTACAGAAACATTGCATCACCACGAAGTACACCGTTGGCAGAGCTAAGGAAGTTGCAGAGAATGGATATCCAAAATGATGAGTCCTCGTAAGGATCAATCTTGTTCATTCGTGAAAGAGCGATCCCGTGCCCTAAAGACTTTCCCCGACTTTAACGTGATGAATCACAACTCCGATTCGCAAATTAGTCTCAGACTCCTGGACGATTGTGGAAACACCGGGCCCACCTTCAGATGTTGCATTGTAATTTCCTTTCAATAAAATCTATCTATTCTTGACAAGAATTATACCCAAACACAGTAGGAATCGTTATTTCGCTTAACAGAGATCGAAAACAGCTCTTCCTGAAGACAAATAGTTTTCCAATTTCGGCACCTCCAGTAGATATCACCAATATAATTTTCTGGCTTCCCACATCATCAAGGAAGCATTGAGTATGCCTCTCTGTGTCTTCAACTCAATTCGTGTAGATCTGAAGGTACTGAAACTGGAAACCTACAGTCGACACTTCGCAGATCCTTGAGCTTGAGTTTTGAGGGAAAGCAGGCTAATTTCACACAACCTGTTGCAAAGTGTTTTCATACACGTCTTAGTGGTGACATTTCATGATATTGATATTGATCACGTTCTACCACATATATCCCCTTGCATGTATGTGACCCAAATGGTAGCATGCGCAAGTCTACGCAATCGAAATTCACTTCTGTTCTCGTTTTCTGTAGGTGGTCATTGACCAATAATCCAAAAACACTCGAATACTGCCTAGAATTCTAGGCTCCTCCTGGCTTTGCTGTAAGTCAGGTACCCTTTCAAAGTTATTAAGAATGTATGAAAGTAACTTTATTGTTGTATCCACCTACAAACATGTACACACACACACACAGAAAGATCGTTTATAAATATATACATATATATATATATATATACATTCTGGGAAGCGAGTTAGTTTTTATTCATGGATAAAGAGATAAATAAGAAGACACGTGTAAATTTTACGTAAAAATTTTAATTGGCCAATTGAGTCATGTTAAAATAGGAAACATCAAAGGAGGTGAGTAGTTTAAAAGACACTAGCTCAAAGATGCACCGAATGGGAGTCCTCCAATTAGATCAATACGAAGTGAGAAGCCAGTGGAGGAGAAGGTTGCTTCTCCATAGACAAAGACAGTCTTGTTGTGGATCCAACACAAAGCATGGGAGCTTCTTCCAATCTCCAAACTTACTTTTGATTTCATGTAATGCCACATGTCTAAAGGACGTTACTGACATAATTTAAAAAATAAGAAAAAAATAATAAAGTGCTAACTTCTGGTTAGGTCAGATAGATTCTCCATGAATCTTTCCTACTGCAATTCTCCTCGTCTCCCCCATTCTTCCCCCAGTTTGTCTCCTATGCCGCTTTGCTCCTCCAATTATCTTTCCCTGTCATTCCCCTATTCATGCTAGAAACCACCATCCAGAGTAGGTGACTATCCGGTCGCTGTTTCCGAACAGACCTCTCACTGAGCGGGTGCATATTCCTCGTCTCAGCCCCCAAAGTCTATATCCGAGACTTTTGGGAGTCGGGGAGAACCCCACGATGCGCAGTCTTCACAGTCTACACGCCACTGCAAGGACTTGTTCAGATTTGACAGGAGAGTGTGGGACAAGCCACACGGTGGGAGGAGGGGGTGGGCCTTGTGAATCTAACACTGCCGATTCTGCACCGCCCCGTGCAACTGAAATGGCTTCCCTGCGCATTCGGAAGACCACACAGGATTTGGAAGCACGGTCCCCGATGCAAACCCTCCTCCTCACACCAATCGTTGCTTTGTTCCCTCCCCAACCGTAACTGTGATCGACAACGACTTCCGTGACAGACTTTTCATTGCATGGATCTTCGAACAGACACATGTGAATCTTTTCGAAATTAATATTTCATTCAGTCAAACATTCTTCCCACGCACTCACTCTACCTCTCTCGCTCTCTCTCTCTCTCTCGCTTTTGCTGTTTTCTAGGCTTTCAGTGTTCTGATTCTCACAACCACTGTGACTAGAATCCAGCTCTTGCTAAGAGACCAGTTCTAGCATGCTTGACCAGGTATCGACTCATACACATCCAGGTTACCGAACACGGGACTTCAGAATTGAGAAGCTTTGCATGTACTTGTGTAAATGTTTAGGTAAGTTTAGTTGTAAAATCATCCCACGTGGAATATAAGACACGGTTGTGTTCTCTCGTGCCCTTGTTCACATAGCTGAAAAAGCTAATTGGTAGACCTAATTTTGTAATTGAAATATTTTTGTTTGAAATCCTGATATAAATTACGTAGGATTTTAAAGAGAAATTCTTAGGGTTCAATAAAAAAAATAAAAAAAATAAAAAAAATTAGGAACTTATTTTTCATCCGTTGTGTGAGTGTCAAAGTTTTTTAAATTCCAAATTTGAAATAAAAAACTTATTGTTGCAAACATTGTGTACTAATGAGAAAAAAAATATATTTATTTATTGAAAAAGTGATTTTGTACAATATGTAGATAACTTTGAATACGTGGCTCCTCTATGTCTGATTCAATCATGTGCAAAGAGGCCACGTATCTTGTATTCTTTTACTTGTTTTGTTCTTATCAATCCAACAGCTTTGAAAATTGGATTAAACGATTCTTTGTTACTAATTCAGCTCAAATCAAATTTTACCTTCTTTTTTCTTTTTTTTCTTTCTTGCTTTCTTTTTCCTTAGAGCAATTCAACTACAGCAAATAAACAAATAAATAAACGAACTGAAACGCACACTCCAATTCAACATTCCGTTTAAGTGTTTGGCCTTTTTAGTTTTATATTCAAACTACACAAGCAAAAATTCACGAAGAAATATAGTGTCGCACCAACAATATGGGAGTAGTTTGTTGTGTGCTGGATTGGTCGAAGTCCCTTTCGATGATGGGGGAACATAATTTATACTTTTGGACAAGGCCCAATCAGTCACGGCTTCTTCAAGCAGTTGAAAACACGCTTTAGGGTTCTTTATATTTGTTGATGTCACTCTATCCATTTTCACACTTGTGGAGTAGGAGCTCTTACAATGCTTAGAGAACCAGGGATTCTCAAACCTTGTGCCCTGTAAAAATGCCATGTGGCAAGTACATGTTGCAATATAGGTTATGCCACGTGTAACTTGTGTGTGGATGCATAATATCTGCAATTGTATTGAATTGAGCTTCTTGGATCGTGTGTAGTTCTCAACTTTTTCAAATGTCTTTCGAATAATAATTTTATCTTATTTATATATTTATTTTAAGAAGTTTAAATGTACTTTAATACAGAGAAATATTCACCATTCTTAAAAGAAAACTAAAATAAACAATACCAAAACCAAAACCAAAATAAACAATAAGGAACGGGCCAACGTGACATGTGTTGGAAAATCAATCCTGAGCTTTCTAACACAGTATGCGAAGATGTGAGTATGAAATGTTATACTCTCTCCGTTCATCTCCATCGATTTGATCTGTACATTCACGTGTTCACACGGGAAGGATGGGTTGGCGAGCAGAAGAGGCTCGCGGTAGTAGATCCCAGAGGACCTGAAAGGGTTGTGAGTGAGTGAGTGAGTGCGATGTCCCCACCTGGGAAGAGTGTGGCGCCACCGGGTGCCATCTCGAGGATTCGTGAATATCCGTCCACGCCCAGTGCCACGTAGGTCTCACCTATGAGCATCGCCACGGCCATTGGCCGTGCGCCACCCTCGGCGATCAGAATCCCGGGCCAACCTGCCCCTTCTACACCCCCCACCCGGAATCTCCAATCCAATCTATCCGCTTCCCGAGGTTTTTTGCCGTTGATTCTTATCCCACGTGTGAACGAGACAAAATTTTGCCTGGATCCACTTATCCCGTATGAACGCAGATGTTTTTCCAGACTATTGATCCCGCACCTTGGTGTCGTCGCCCTTCTAATCGGAGCTTGCCATTTTCGTGTTTCTGCCTCCGAATTGGTCTATGATCTCCTCAATACCGTGGTTTCGAAAGCAATCTGCTCGTTTGTCACCATATTTTGGGGGGAAGTTGTTAAACTGCACGTAGCATCTAGAGCTGTGGCTTTGTTAAGAGTTTTTGTGTTGTTGGTGAGAGCTTTGGTGGTTCGAATTTCTGAGAGGGCGGGGGTAAGGGTGTGAGTGGAGATTTAAGGAAGTCGGGGAGAGTTTGAGTGTAGGAGCGTATACTTTAGGTGGGGTCTCAAGGTATGATTCTGCTTGTTTTGAATAGCTGTGTGCCAATTCTGGAAGATTGTTTATTATGAGTTTTGTTGTGGATGTTTTTCAGATCTTTAGCAATTTTTTAGAGCAAACGGTGTTCAAGGTTGGTTTTCATTACATGTATTTTTGATGATGTTGAAACTGATTTTTTTTTTTTTTTCTTCTTTTATGATTTTACAGTTATAGTTTCGTCTGAAATTCAACAGATTTGGCTGAGTCTTTACTTTTCTTTCTTATTAGGTTGCCTGCATTACAATTTTACGACGAGTTCACGCTCACTCGGGATACGGGATGGTGGTTATGGACACAGTTCCTCCAAGCTCTGTGCACACCACTGTTGCGAAACCATGTAGCCTAGAATCTTGGCAGACAGTGGGAGAGCTGGAGGAGAACCTAAAACCGTCGGACGTTTTAGACTTACCAGGCGAAGCCTACGCAATGCTTCACAAGTTGGCTCGAAAATGGACTGACATCTTGGATCCCAAAGATCTTACTTTGACACGGCTCAAAGGTGCCATGACAAATTATGTTTACCAGTGCCACTGGGAAAGAGACAATGGTCACCGCCCTCGCACAGTTCTTGTGCGGATTTATGGAGAAGGTTCGAGCATGTTTTTTAACAGAAACGATGAAGTGCTCACGTTTGAGTTGATGTCGCAGAAAGGTCAAGGACCGCACCTTCTGGGTCGGTTCCCTAATGGTCGAGTGGAAGAATTCTTGCGAGCACGGGTTTGTACCAATTCTTGCTCGTCGTTGTTGGGTCGTACTCTTCAGACGTGAAGGACAATTTAGAAAACTCATCCAGGAATCCACTATGCTGGTTCACACCGAAGCAGTTTTTGAGGTTTCGCTTCTGAATAAGCTAGATTCTGAAGATCTACGACTTGTTATTCACCTGCCGTGTAGTAAAGCGTCCTTTTGTCCATTTCAAAGTTTGGTATTTTAAAAACAGTTAATTGAATTTTCCTACTGCAGACACTCGAGAAGCACGACTTGCGAGATCCAGAAATTTCGAAGAGAATTGCTGAGAAACTGCAGGAATTTCACAGTCTCGACATGCCTGGGCCACGGAAAGCCAAGTTGTGGGAACGCCTCAGGTGAGCTTATGCGAGCAATCATTTTAGCACAAAATTTTGTGAAGAGCTGTTTTATTTCTCTTCGTCTTTTTATTAGTATTTCAAGTACCGTTTATAAATAGAACCACGTTGCTGAAAAGCTTTGATATATGCTAGGGATTGGTTGGTGAAGATTTTCGAGCATTCCGATTCTACTGAAGAGGACTTTGGTATCAACAAATTGGACGATGAAATCAATGACTTGCAACGCCGATTGATGAAGCCTGATACTCGAATTGGTTTTTGTCATAACGACTTGCAATATGGCAATATCATGGTTTCAGAGAAGGACGACTCTATCACACTCATAGTATGTGTACCTTTTTCGACTTTTACTTGTTTATTTATCTCTTTTTGAATCAGCTGAATCTTATCTTTTGTAGGACGCTTGATAGCGCATCGTGGAAATTTCGTGCTCTACGCACGTTGATAGAGCCTTCTCATCGTTTTTTAAAATTAAAATACTAAACTAGGATCAGTGGATGTGGCAGATGTCAGGAAGGTATTTGCACAAGTAGGTAGTTGCTTTGGTGAACATTATATTACTATTATGCTTACATTGTTGTGGTTTGTCGGATTGGGAGCAGGATTATGAGTACGCCAGTTACAACCCTGTGGCATTTGATATTGCCAATCATTTCTGTGAAATGACTGCAGATTATCATTCTGACGAGCCTCATTTGTTGAATCAAGCAAGCTTCCCTGGTGAGTTTTGTTGATACATTTCTGACTTAAAGTCCTCTCTGGGAAACGAACACAGTGTATATGAAGTGATGTGCAACAGTTTATATTTACTACAATACTAATGAGGAATTTTATGCAGACTACGAAGAACGAAGCCGATTTTGCCGTGCGTATCTGGAAGCTTCAGGTATTTGATTTAGTGCATTTCATTCAACTTTTTTTCCTGATCGGAGTTTAAATTTTTCTAGTTCTGGTATTTTTCATTGCAAGCCTCTAACCTATCGAACTTTTTGGTAATTTATTTATTTTTTTGTTTATTTTTTTTGCGTGTGATCAAGGCTCTCCTGCTACCTTTTACTTGAACTGAAGATTTTTGGATGTGTTGAATATCAGGGGACTCAGCTACCCAGATTGATGTGGAGAGATTTGTGAAAGAAGTGGACGAGTTCGTGGTTGCGAGTCACCTACACTGGGCTCTTTGGGGTTTGTTGTCGGTAAGAGTTCATTATCTTAGTCATACTCAGGTCCCTTCTGCTTTCGCAAGGGACAATGCCGATGTTATTAGTTTTGGGTTATGTATTGTTTATATGGAAAGAATGATCTTCCTGGGTCGAAATCCTCAAGGTTTGTTTGCTTACGTCGTACCTGGATTTATCATTTAGGTTATCGTGATAAGAGAAAGTGGCACGTCGATCATCTCTCATACTAACTGTATGATGTGTAATTTGTCACAGGCTGCGCACCAAGATGTGGAGTTCGACTTCTTTAGTTATTCTCGGCAGCGATTTGCAGAATACTACAGGCTGAAACATGATTTGTTTGGGAGTAGATAGATTGCCCGTGGATGTATCATGCAAGGTGAGCAATAGAAATTGAGATCTGTATGGTGTCAGAGGAAATCTTGTACAGCAGAAAATTAAGAACCATTTTGCAGGTTAGTTCCAAAATTATAGGTGCACAATTTGTAGTCATCAAATACTCGATGCTCTGTGCCATAATACATATGTTTCATTTGAATTGACACATATATACAATATAATGTTTTTAAATTCTTTACAAATAGATGAAGACATGTAGCCAATATATTGCAAATAGATGAAGAATGAACATGTGACAATGCCAAATGCCAAAGGAAGGAAAATATATATACATATATATATATATATATATATACATCGCCAAATTGAAGGCCATAGCCAAAATCGAAGTCCAATAGATTTTTTTGTGTTGATGCCATTAGAAAGGTAAAGATGAGACAATTTTATTAGAAGAAAAAATCAACGTGCTAATAATAATAACAATTATAATCTTTTAAAGTGTGAATTAATAAGATATATTAACCATCTTTGTACAATGGTTAATAGATCTTTTTGCAAAGATATAATTGGTATTTTAAAATTGGCTATATTATTCTTTATTAACAATTCTTCACTTCTTTCTTGATCTTTGTTACTTTTTTAAAAAAATTATTTATAAAGTTTTTTTAAAAAATTCAAAAAATCTCTACAAAAATCATACATTGATTAATGTTTTTTTAAATGGATTGATTTAATATATATATATATATATATATATATATTGGTAATTTTAGATATTAAATCTTATTTGATGAGAAGTTCAAAATATATTGTATTAATTTACATTGATTTTGATCTTAAAGAATAAGTTTCTAAAAACTTAGAAGTTGTTATGACTTGATTTGTTCATCTTCAATTAAATCTTTATTCTTGGAGACTTTTAAAGAATTGATTGTTGCATGCAATGGCTCAAACAATACATTGTTGTAATCAATTTTATTTTTGCATTATTAATAATAAATCTTTGATATTATCCTTTAGCTATCACAAACACAGAAATTATCACGGACACAGAAATACAAGCTCAAGATCTAACAAGAAGTTCAAGAAGAACTGGCAAGAACTAGATTAATCAGATGAATACAAGATCAACACCAAAGAGGTGAGCTAGAGCTCCAAGAGATGTGTTGTCAAGACTGAAGAACTCTTCAGCCTCGATTCCAATATATACTCCTATTTAGGAAACTTCTCAAGTAATTTTTACCAACTAGGAAGCTTCTAGAAGGTTCCAGAGACTTGCTTCTAGAAGGTTCTAGAAACTTGTCTCTTGAAGGTTCGAAGGACTATGTCCCTAACATCTTCTATCAACTAAGAAGCTTCTCAAACAACTTCTATGAACTAAGAAGCTTCTAGAAGGTTCTAGAGACTTGCTTCTAGAAGGTTCTAGAAACTTGTCTGTAGAAGGTTCTAAGGACTATGTCTCTAACACTATGTCCCTAACATCACCCCTTCCTTTAGCTTTGAGGTCTCTAAGAAGCAATGTTGTTGTTAATCAGTACCAACAGAAGAAAATGAAGATCTGTCGCATAATGTTTGCTATGAACTCCAACTGTTGTTCACGAGGTAAGTGGTTCATCGGCCCTTGAAGCCAACGGTAGTGGCCCACGCCTTTGACTTCTGACCAAGCATGAACTTCCGTGTCCTCATTGTAAAATTGTCCTGAAAACTTGCCTTCTGGCTGACCATTGTAAGCAGGTGTTAGGGACATAGTCTTTAGAACCTTCTAGAGACAAGTTTCTAGAACCTTCTAGAAACAAGTCTCTGGAACCTTCTAGAAGCTTCTTAGTTGGTAGAAGATGTTAGGGACATAGTCCTTAGAACCTTCTAGAGATAAGTTTTTAGAACCTTCTAGAAGTAAGTCTTTGGAACCTTCTAGAAGCTTTTTAGTTGATAGAAGTTGCTTGAGAAGCTTCCTAAATAGGAGTATATATTGGAATCGAGGCTGAAGAGTTCTTCACTCTCGACAACACATCTCTTGGAGCTCTAGCTCACATCTCTGATGTTGTTCTTGTATTCATCTTATTAATCTAGTTCTTGCCAGTTCTTCTTGAACTTCTTGTTAGATCTCGAGCTTGTATTTTTGTGTCCGTGACAGTTTGTCGAGACTTCACTCACCTCAGATATCAGAGATAGTTTCTTCCTCGTTAGAGTGTGGATTATCCCTCTGCTTGGAAGTGTACTAGCATTTTAGAGATTGCAGAGTACCCTCCTCTAAACCAATATTGTCTTCTTGTAGAGTCATTTTTGTCCTTCTCTTAGAATGGCTGGGGGCCAAGACATTAGTATGATGGAAAGTTCAGAGTCCAAGTTGGATGCTATCATGAATGCCCTTGCTACATTATTGCAGAGAATTGCAGAGATTGAAGGAGTCGTGGCAAGGCTTCATAATGATGGAGCATTTGGGATGGCACAATCTAGGTTGCACCAACCTCAAACTTCTATACTTAAAGAAACAACTTTGCCTCAGGTTCGACAAGCACCACTAGTTCTATAACATAAAGAGCCCCGAGTTAGCTTTCCGGACAAGTTTGATGGTATGCGTTCCAAGTTTCAAGGATTTTTCAATGAAATCAAATTGTTAACAATTTTATAGCCAGAACGCTATCCAACAAAATAGTCATGTGTTGGGCTTGTTGGAACCTTACTTACAGGGCAAGCTCTATCATGGTTTGCTCCTTTGTTTGAGAAACGATCGTCCATACTAAAGAACTTTGAAACCTTTTTGGAGGCGTTTGAGGAAGCATTTGGTAAACACGACAAGGTTTGATGGGCTACAACAAAGATCCGGTCACTACGACAAGGGATGCACTCTACATTAGTCTATGCATCGGATTTCAGGTAATTAGCATGCGACATCAATTGGGACGAAGAAGCATTGATGAGTCAATTCTATTGGGATTTAAGGGACAATGTGAAGGATTTGCTGTTAACTCTTCCTGATCCACGAATGCTCAACGAAGCTATTAGCCAAGCTGTGAAGTGTGATAACCGCCTATTCCAACGTCACCAAGACCAACGTTCAAGACAACATACGGTTTGCCAGGCCCCAACTATATCGACAAGCAATGTGAATTCACATTCAGAGGTAGAAGACATGCAAATTGATGCGATATGTGTCAAATCCTTTACTCTAGAAGAAAAAAAGCGGCGTATGGAAAAAGATCTATGCTTGTATTGCGGTGAAGAAGGCCACAAAGTTGGAAATTGTCTCAAGAAGCAAAATCGACGTATTGTCACGACTAGGAGCATGTTTGTTCAGGAAAACGAGGATGCCCAGCCACAATAGGAACCGTGCAGCTGGACAGTGAAATATCGCAACAACAACCAAGTTCCTTTCTTTCCGCTCAACCTGCCCTTTGCTTTACAATCCCTTTGCTTATTGGCTCTCAAAAATTGAGAACCTTAGCATTATTAGATTCAAGAGCATCTGCTTGTTTCTTAGACGAAGAATTTGCGAAGCGTCATAAGATCACCCATGAATCAAAACTTATAGAAGTGACGTTTAAGGGCCATAATAGTCATATTATTTTCAATATTATTAGAATCCCATCAAATCCTGTTACTCTTGGTCATTCCTGGTTGGAAAAGCATAACCCATCCATAGATTGGAAGTTGCAGAAGATAACCTTTCTCTCAAAACCACCCAAGAACAAGCCTAGTAGAAAACCCCGAATAGAGAAATCCTTATTCATTGGAGCAAGAGCGTTTATAAGATTGTCCAAGGAAGGTATACCGTTAGTCATTTATGCGGCTCCAACTACCGGGGAGAAGATCTCGATAGTAAGTATACTTGAGCAATATAAGGATTTTAAAGACGTGTTTCAAAAGAAGAATGCCGACATGCTACTAGAACACTGGCCATATGATTGCGCCATAGATTTATAGGAAGGAGTACAACCGCCTTTTGGCCCAATCTACAATCTATTGCAAACGGAGTTGGTGGAGTTGCAGAAGTACATCGATGAGAATCTAGCCAAGAACTTCATCCATCATTCAAAATCGTCAATTGGAGCACCCATCTTATTTGTGAAGAAGTAAGATGGCTCGTTGCAGATGTGCATGGACTATCGAGGCCTCAACAAGGTAACAAAGAAGAATTGTTATCCGTTATCCTTGATTTTTGGTATCTTAGAACAACTTGGACGTACAAGGATCTTTACAAAAATTGATCTAACGGGAGCTTACAACCTCGTACGAATCAAGGAAGGAGATGAGTGGAAGATAGCATTCCGTACAAGGTATGGCTATTTTGAGTATAATGTCATGCTCTTTGGTCTTACCAATGCTCCAGCGATCTTTCAACATATGATGAATGATATTTTCCGAGAGCACCTTAACGATTTTGTTGTCATCTATTTGGATGATATTTTGATATTCTCCAAAAATGAGGAAGAGCATGAAAAGCACGTTCGTTTGGTCTTGGAGAAACTATGCGAGCGAGGACTATATGCCAAGTTGGAGAAGTATTTATTTCACCAAATCGAGATGGAGTTTTTGAGGTTCGTTGCGACTACGGAAGGCTTGAAGATGGACCCCAAGAAAGTGGAAGCAATCGTGTCCTAAGAGGTTCCGAAGACGGTTAGAGACATACAATGCTTTCTTGGTTTTGCCAACTTCTCTCGGATCTTCATCAAGGATTACTCTCAAGTTGCTGCTCCTCTCGCTCGGTTGACATGCAAAGATAAGCTGGAATAGGGACCTCTAGCAGAGAAGGTGTTTCAAGACCTGAAGACAGCATTTACTACAGCTCCAATCTTAGTACATCTAGACTTTACAAAGGCCTTTTATTTAGAAACTGATGCTTAGGATTTTGCTTTGAGAGCTGTACTTTCAGAAATGGGAGAAGACAAGAAGCTCCATCTGGTTGCATTCTATTCTCGAAAGTTCTTTGTTATTGAAATCAATTATGAAATCCACGATAAGGAACTTCTTGCTATAGTAGATTTTTTCCAAGAATGGTGTCACTTTCTTGAAGGAGCTGCACATCTAGTGACCGTATACATAGATCACAAGAATTTGGAGTATTTCATGTCGACTCGAGTTTTAAATTGACGTCAAGTTCGGTGGAGTATGTTGCTATCTAGGTTCGATTTTGTTATCACTTATTGACCTGGAAAGCAGCAAAGACTATCCGATGCCTTATCGAGGAGATTGTATCTTGTACCAAAGGTTGGAGAAGCAGTGTTTGATCAATAATGTACGACA